GCAGGGAGGGCCTCTGATGACCGGGCCACCCCCCCCAGCATGAACCTCAACGTCCCGCAGTTGGCAAGGGCACAGCAGCAGCGCACACACAGGTGAGCGGCCCCCTGGTGCAGGGACGGGGTGGGGGGTGGGGGGGACAGGCAGGCTGGCCCTGGCCTCAGAAGGATGGAGCGGGTCTGGAGGGCAGCAGTCCAGGCTGGCCCGGTCCCCGCGCCCAGCTGCAGCAGGCCTACTGTGAGCTCGCCGGAGGATCGTCGAGCGCGGAGTGTGAGCCGAGCTGCCCAGGCCGGGCTGAGCTCGCCCTGCAGGTGGGCTTTCTCCCTCTCGGGCCTGGGCTTCCGGGGGCCCGCGTCCCCTCCCCCCAAGCGTGGGCACCACCTTCCAGCAGCAGCCCCCCCGGGCTGGAATGGGGGCCGCTCTCCCCTCCTCAGGTGTCTGGGCCGCCCCACGTGGAGGGGGTAAAGCCTCGCTCTGAGTGGAGCCTGGGGCCCCTCGTCTCCTGCAGGCCATCAGGGACGCAGAGACCCAAGTGGACCGGCTTTGGCTGGAGGCCCGGAAGGCCGAGGAGATGCTGGCCACGGCCAGGCTAGAGCTGCGGGAGCAGACCCAGGAGGGTGGGCGGCGCTGGGGGGCCGGGCCCAGGGAGGGGGATCAGGGATCGGGTCCTCCCGTTGGAGCCCCGGCCCACTTACGACTCCACAGGGGAGGAGGTGGTGCCCGGGCTGAAATGCCGGGTCACCGAGCTGCACGACGTCCTAATGAAGGATGTGGGCGATCGCCTCTGCGCCGATGGCCGGTCAGTGGTCGGGCTTGAGTGGGACAGCGGGCGGAGGGTTTGGGTGGGCAGCGGTGACCTGGTGGCCGCTCCCAGGTGGCCTCTTGTCATCGACCCTTCGGGCCAGGCAGCCACCTTCCTGCGCTACCAGGACACCAGCTACGTGGATGCGGTGAACCCTGCGCACCTGCGGCCGGACAGGATCTGGCTGGCGCTGCTGGGGGCGCTCAGGTGAGCCGGCGGAAGGCGGGGCCCCTCGACCGGGCGCCTCACCCACCGGCCTGCCCCGCAGGTACGGGAAGCCGCTGGTGTTCTACTTGCGCGAGGCGGACCTGCTCCCCGTGGTGCGGAGGCAGCTGGAGGCCGTGCGGCCGGGGCTGGCACGGGAGCTGCTGAGCCGGGGGCTCCCGGAGCGGGAGGGCTACCTGTCGCTGCTGCGGCCTGCCCACGAGCCTGAGTACAGCCCCTCGTGCTTCCAGGTGGCGTGCCTGGGGCACTTCCGCGTCATCTTCGTCACCGAGGCCCAGTGGCCGCCGGCCGAGCAGCTGCAGCTCCCTGTGTGGGCGCTGCGCCCCCCGGGGGCCCCTAGGGCCGAGCCCCAATAAAGCTTGGGCCGCCGGCCTTGGGGCCTGGGACTGCCTGTGTCCTGTGTGCACGTACCAAGTGGGGAGTGGGGAGCGGGGCGCGGGGGCCCAGCCTTGCGGGGGGGCGGTGGGTAAGACAGATGGACAGACAGGAGGTAAAACGTAGTCAATTTTATTCTTCTTAAACCACAAAATAGAGTCTTTGGTTGTACAAACGTCACTAGTTACAGTCTTGCCAGCGGGTCCCAGCTGGGGAGGGGGCAGTTAGTCAGCGGCCGGAACTCCTGAGGGGTCTCTTTAAAATGCTAACACCCAGGTAAAAGACTCAGGGCAAGGGTGCTGGTGCAGCCGGCAGGGCCCCGCCCAGGTCGGGGGCGGTCCCCGGGGCCTCTAGGAGGGCACAGGGCCCAGGCCGCGGCGCCCGGGCCGCACGGGGCGGCGACTGCTGCACAGAGCCACGTCCTCAGCGCCCACGGCGCCGGGCGAGGGCCGGCCCAGGAGCACCATGGCCACCTCTCCGTCCTCCTCCTGCGGGCCTGGTGGGCGAGGCAGGGCACGCAGTGAGCGATTCGGGGGGCGGGGCGGGCACCCTGGGTGCACCCTGAGGGCTGAGCCTGCCAACTCACCAGGGCTGGGAGATGGTTCCAGGGACCTCAGCTCCTCAGCAAAATCTGGGGACTGTGAGGGGGAGAAGAGTTAGGTCAGGACTGCACCCCAGGCCTGCGTGGAGCCGCCCCCAAGAGCCTGGGTGGGGGTCCCCGTGGCGCCCTGGCCAAGGACGGGAGCTGGCTGGGGAGGCCCCGCGCCCACGGAACAGGACTCGAGACCGGCAGAGAGAGAGGGACAGGCCCGGGTGGTCGGGCACAGGAGCAAAGCTGAGCGCGGCTGGCCTGTGGGCGGGCCCGGTACCTGCATGTCATAGACAGGTCTGGAAGAAGGGAGGGCTGCAAACACCCTGTAGTCAAACTTCCTCCCAGACAAGGCCTTGCAAGGACAGCGTGAGGGAGAAAGGCAGAGAGCGTGAAGAGGGGGAGGGAGGGGGAGTCTGGGGAGGGGTTCAGGGCAGGCGACAGCTGCTGGCTCCTCACCAGGCGTCCGGGGGAGGTGCTGGTCTGGGGCCCGAGGTCTGGTGGGACAAGAAGGGGGCGTTGGGAGAGGTCTGGGCCGCGGGGCGGGCCCCCCACCCCTGCCCGGCTACGGACCTTCCACGGGAGTGGGCGACGGGGTGGGCGCAGGCGAGGGGGCCTCGGCCAGCCGCTCCAGGGGCCCGCGCCTGCTCCGGCCCTCCTGGGACTTGCTGAGGACCATCTGCGCACGGAGAGCGTCCTGCTCCAGGGACTTCATCCTGCGGGCGACCGGGAGGTGGCGCTGGGCGGGCGGGTGGGCGCGGCAGCGGGGGTGGGATAGGCCTCCCGGGGCCCCCAGGGCCTCACCTGGCTGCCCTCCACAGTGCGCGCTTCTCGGCCTCCAGGGCGCGCCGCTCAGCAGGGGACAGAGCCCGATCAGGCAGGGACAACTCCGGGCTCTGAACGCGGAGTCGCTCCTGATGTCGCCGTTCGGCTTTGGCTGTGCGCACCGGGGCGCCGCCCCCAAGGGGCTGCGGGGACGAGGGGCTGAGCCTGGGGCGGGAGACAGGGCAGGAGGACCAGGTGGGTGGGGTGCCGAGGGCACGGGGACGCCCGGGAGACGTTCGGGGCTGCCGCTCACCCTGGGGCAGGGCCGGCCCAGGCTGGGGGCTCGGGTGGCTCCTCCTCCTCCTCCTCCTCGGGGGCCTCCCCGTCCAGGTCCAGGGTGAGCCCGCTGTCCTCCGCCTCCCGCATCAGCTGCGTCCTCTTCTGCTGCAGCTTTCGGGCTGGGGTGGGGGTGGGGGGGTTAGGTGAGACCCTGGCCCAGGCCCTCCCCACCTGCCGCTCTGGCCACCTACCTTCCTCCTCCTGCATCTTCCGCAGGTCGTCGGCACCCACCAGTGACACGCGCTTGGGGGGGCCCTCGGCCTGGGGCACCTGCACCTCCAGTTCAAAGTACTTCTGCCGCTCACGGAAAGACAGCTGCTCCGGGGAGGCCGTGGGCCCGGGTGCAGGGGGCTGTGGGAAGCAGGTCCTGAGACCTGGCTCCTCTGGGCACATGCCCCACGCGCATGCACGGGAGAAGGGCGGGCTGCCCACCGGGTACCTGGGCAGGGGTGTTCTGCGGTGGGTGTGGGCCAGGTACAGCAGCGAAGGTCCTGTAGGCCTGCTTCACGTTGGCGGGCAGTGCGTCGGGGGAGGGTGGGGATGGGGGCTAGGGAGGGGGGCGCATGTGAGCCTGGGGAGGACAGCCATCCTGGCTGCAGCCGCCATCCCCCCAGCTGTCCCCACCCGCTGCTCTGACTCCCGTGTCCTGTGGGTCTGAGCACTCACAAGACGGGGATCCCCTCTATCCCTGGGGGCCACGGAGCCCCCTGGCCAGGCCCAAGCCAGTTTTCTCAGCAAAACGCAGGGGCAGAGACCAGAAAGAGGGATTCGGGTTCAGGTAAGGGGATGGGGGGATGGTGGAGGAAAGAGACCTGGAGCCAGGGGGGGTGGACGGGGTGGGTATCCAGGGGCACGGGGCCAACACTCGCCTGTCTGTCATCTGCTGGGAAGGGGCAAAGGTTGGGAGCTGGCCCGTGCTTACCCCCTGCTGCAGCGCGGCGAGGGGGGTGCCCATGGCCTGGCCCTCCCATGCAGCAGACCCGGGGAGCCTCAGCAGGACCAAGCTGGCCCCCAGGGACTCATACGCAAGCAAGCAGGTGGCAGTGACGCATCCCTGACCACCCAGCTCTGTCTGCCCAGGGGCCACAGGGAGCCCCCCACCCCATCGCCAACCACCCCCGGCCAGGGAGGCGCTCCGGGCCGTGCCCACAGTCAGGAGTGGCAGCTGGAGGGGAGCGGCTGTCCCGTGGCACCACCTCCCTGGAAGAGGGGGCGCTGCCCTCCACCCCCACCTGGTGGGCACTCACCTGCTGGCAGCTGGGGGAGCAGGGGCCCTCAGCCATCTTCCCTCCTGTCGCCCCAGACAGTACCTGCGGGGGTCAGGCAGTGCCGGGGGGAGGGTCAGGCAGGGCTGCGGCCCCACGAGGAGGAGTTCTGCTGCTCTGTTCCGCTGTCCGTGAGCAGCTCCCCCACCCCTGGCTACCCTCCCCATGTACTCTGGAGCGGTGTGAGCCAGGGAGGCCCCAACTCTCACCTGCCACCCCACAGCTAGGCCCCCACCCCTCCCGGGGGCTTCCCACTCAGCTGCTCGTGGCTAAGGGGCGAAGGTCTACACTAAAGCCCCCAGCACAACTCCCCCCGCCCCGCCCCGCGGAGCCCGGGCAGTGACCACTCGCCCTCCTGTAGGACTTCTGAGCCGCGGCCAGCTGGGCACAGCCTCGGGCAGGGCTGTTCATGGCTCTCGGGGGAGGGATGAGGCCCAACTCTCCGTCCTGCCCAGTGTCCGCCCCCCAGCTGTCAGCACTGGGCCACTGCCCAGCCCCCCCAGTCTCCATGGCTTCTCGAAGCTGCTCCAGGCTGTTCCTGCCCGATCCCATCAGGACCCCCAAAGGTTCCGGTGGCCTCGAGCTGCCTGTGCTCCCCACTCCCCAGCCTGCTCGGTGACTCTGAAGGGGAGGGGGGCTTCCCAGGAGCCCCGAGGACGAAGAGGGACCCGTATCAGGTCAGGACGCAGAGCTCCAGCGTGGGGGCCCACGGCCCCTGCAGACCCTGCCTGCAAGCTCCGTGCCCTGGGGTCTCAGTGATGAGCGGGGGCTCAGACGGGCAGGATGGAGCTAAGATGAGCAGATGGAGAGCAGGCCAGTGACTCGGACACTGACCCTGTGCGTGCCCCCAGCGCTGGGCACGGCAGCTAGAGTGCGGTAGTCCAGCTTGAGGCTCTCCAAGCTCTGGCCCTGGGGAGCAGAGTCCACACAGGGGAGGCGTGTCTGCACCCAAGCCGGGGGCCGGCAGATGCTGCCGAGAGCGGGCTGCAGCCACCTGCCCCCTGCACTGTGTCCACCCTGCGCCCTGCAGCGCCCCAGCAGGGAGGAGGCAGCCAGAGCCCGGCACCCCGGGGCCCGAGTGTGAAGAGAAGCCCGGTGTGTAGGGCAGGGGTGCCCAGTCACTCACCACGGCCTCTAGTCCCCACTGCGGGGTCTGTCCCGGCAGCTCCTTCTGCAGGCAGAGAGCACACCAGTCAGGGACCAGCAGCCTTGGGCTCCCCAGCCCTGCGGCCGCCGGCTGCAGGTGGTTCTGACCTTGCTGGAGCCCTCGGGGCTCAGCTCCCGGTCGATGGAGGAGATGCTCTCCAGGCTGTTCCGGCGGCCGAGGCCTGCCGCAAAGGGGTTGGCAATGACGCCCGGGGACACCTGAGGAGAGGAGCAGGCTGAGGGCAGAGCCCCCTGGTCTCCAACGTCCCCTCCAGAGGGAGGCTGGAGCCCCAGCTGAGGACCTGCCAGCGACCCACACAGCCAAGGCGGCCTCTGGGGTGGGGAGGCTTGTGACAGCGCCGCTGGCCACGCAGGCTAGCCAAGGTCATGGATGCACATCATGGGCGTCGGGGCCATTCTGACGCGTGGCGGGAGGCAGGGGAGGCCGACTGTGGACACTGAGCCGCGGGGTGCCTGGTGGCTGTTTCTGGAATCTGCAGCGCGAGCACCCAGAAAAGACTCTGAAATAAAGGCCACAATGCAGGAGAGACCCAGCGGCTCCGAGCAAGGGAGAGCCCGCTGCCTGGTGGCCGGGACCTGGTGGGCAGGGCGGGGGACGGAGGGCAAGAGCGTGTGGCCATGAACTGTGCCTTGACCACAGACTCGGAGGGTGAACACAGACGGAAACACAGAATGGCTCTCTCCAACCTCACGAGAGATGAGGGGGATAGCTTGGCCTTGACCGACAGCAGGAACCAGAGTGGGGGCGGCATGGGAGACCCCCCCCAAATGAACGGCCCCCACTGATGGGGGGCGGCTGTCGGTGTGGCCGAAACACAAACCCAGTGCAGCCGCCGTTCAGAAAGGCCAAGTGAGA